TAATAATATGGACTATTATTTGTAAAATCAGACTTTTCCATTCTCCAAGTTTTACAGAAACACCAACCCGGACTACTCTGTAGGTGGATGAATGTATTTTAATTTCAGGAAGGATTTGTGAGAATTATATCCAATTAGTGACATCATTACTTAAAGTCCAAGTATTTCTCGAATTCTTCTAACTAAATCTTGTTCGTGGAGTTTTGAAACGTTAAGAGGTTTATCCCAAATCTATAATCGTATATAAAACTATATAAAAGGAAAAAGAACGAGCGATTTAAACCTTCTAAAGCAAAAAGCTGAATCGAAGTGGGGTAGCCAACTTCACATCTGTGCTGTTATGATGCAATTGTTAACAAAAGCTTTACCTGAATATTTAAAAAAAAAAAACACCTCCTATTAACGGCAAGGAATATACCATAAAAAGTCCATCAGTGAGCTGTTGGACAGCATTACTTGGTCTGTTATGTGGATGTTTGGATGGTTTAGGGGTGGGGAATTTGTGATGGGTGGGAGGGTATTTGGGGATTATTATGTGTGTTGGACCTGGTCTTTGGGTGTTAAGTGAATTTTGTTGTATGGGTATACTGTGTATACACGTACAATGACAATAAAGTTATTATTATTATTCCAAGACAAACTTCTAATCCAGATACCCTGTTTTCCCCAAAATAAGACATCCCCTGATAATAAGCCCACTCGGGCTTTTAAGCACATGGCAATAAGAGCCATGGTGGCGCAGCAGACTAAAGTGCTGTTAAGTAGCACCAGCTGCCTGCAATTACTGCAAGTTCAAATCTCACCAGGCTCAAGGTTGAGTCAGCCTTCCATCCTTTCGAGGTAGGTAAAATGAAGACCCGGATTGTGTGGGCAAAACCTGACTTTGTATAAAAAAGAACACCGCTTGGGGGGGCCCGAAAGCCCTACTAAGCAGGTATATACAAAAGTATGAAGGCTATTGCTTAACGCATTGTAAGCCGCCCTGAGTCTCCGGAGAAAGGGCAGCATATAAATCGAACCAATAAATAAGGCCAAGCGCTTATGTTAGGGTTCAAAAAATAAAATAAGACAGGGTCTTATTTTCGGGGAAACACAGTATTTTTAAGAACAACATTTACAACACAGCAAACGGGTCTGGTTGCAAAGTTATCTTCCCATTTCCCAAACCTCACACGCTCGGCAGGCTGAAGTTAGAAAGCGAAAACAAAAGTAGACAACCGCCTGCTATAAAAAGAATGAAAAAGCCAAAGCATGTTTCTTACTACCTTCTGACACTGACATAGTTTATGCTCTGTGTTATTTGGAAGTAAATAATCCACACTGGATTATTTGACACAAAGGTGTAAAGATTTTTTAACACGTGTAAACCCCCATTCAGCGCAGCGTAGCGTTGTGTCTATACGACTTGTAGTTCTTCCCTGCCACCTTATTATTTTTTTAAGATCCAAATGCTTATTCTTTTTTAAGATCCAAATGGACCTGGGTGGCCTTTATTCTGCCAAACTTCTTTTAGGGATGTTCCACTTTAATCCAGGGAGTTAATAAATGCAATCCTTTTACATTGTCTTCCTGTGGCTGAACAAAGCAACTCCAGGGATCTGAAAGCTTTAGGATGAGCGCATTAAAGAAACCAGGACCAAACCAACCATCTCGCCTGCAAACTTAGTTTGCGCAATAGCAATTCAGCAGGTCAGTTAAGGCTACATTCCCACAATTGTAAATAGCGTTAACCTTAGCTTTTTTGGGGGGGGGAGAAATCGGAGGGAGGGGGGAGGTGATTTAGCATACTGTGTGAAGCAGACGATTTGCTTATGATGTAATTCCATTTACTATCTGATACTAGAAAACAAGATTATTTAAATTTAAGAATTTAAATTTAAGATTATTTAAATTTAAGAAAAGCTTTGAGGGTCTGAGGATGGGGGAAAGGTGCTCCTTAAACTCGGTTGTTTTCTTGTAGACGTTTCATTACCCAACTAGGTAGCATGATCAGTGCTAAAAGAGAGTGGGGTTGAAATGTGGAGGAGGAGGAGGAGGAGGAGGAGGGCGATGACTGTAGAGACCTTGGCACTCTCTTGAGATTTGTTGTTTTCTTGCAGACATTTCATTACCCAACTTGGCAACATCAACAGCACTAGTAAAGAGTAGGGTTTGCTCTCAGTTTATATTCTAGTGGCTTGCCTGTCAGTGTTGGTGAGATATCAGATAAACTGACAGCAAAGCCCACTCCTTGCTAACACTGATAATGTTACCTAGATTGGTAATGAAATGTCTGCAAGAAAACAACTAAGTTCACAGAGCATAAATGACCCCCCAGTTCTCCTTCTACTCTTCCTCTTCCCTCCATAAACCCTACTTCCCTTCTACCATTGATGATGTTACCTAGTTGGGTAACAAAACACCTGGAAGAAAACCACCAGGCTCAGAGAGCGCCAAGGACCCCTAACGCTGGTCTATGACCATAATAAAAATTGATTGACCAAGGACCCCAGAGTCGTCGTCTCCTCCCTCTCCTCCTCCTCCTCCTCCTCACAAACCCCACTTCCCTTCTAGCACTGATGATGTTGCCTAGTTTGGTAATGAAATGCCTGCAAGAAAACCACCAAGCCGAGACCACCCCATTTCCAATCTCAGCTACAAATGTTCTCCTTTACCGGTTTCTTTTTGTGGTCGGTTGAGCAATTCCCTTCTCTTTGGGGTTAAACCAGGCCCCCTGCCCCGAAAAAGTACACACCCATCCCCAGCTTCAGTAGAGTGCCAATACAGGAACAATAAAGGAGAATATTTGTAGCTCATTTGAAAGGAGGGTCCTTGGTGCTCTGAGAGTTTGGTGGTTTTCCTGCTGTCCTTTCAGGACCGTTTCAAATTTTTCACCAGCACTGATGATGTTACCGAGTTTGCGTCACCAAACATCTACAAGGAAACCACCCAGCTCGGACAGCACCAAGTCCTCTTTTTCCTCTTCTCTTCCTTCTCTCCGCTACCCCCTCCTTCCTCCTAGCCCTGATGATGTTACCTAGTTGGGTCATGAAACGTCTGCAAGAAAACAAGCAAGCTCAGAGAGCGCCATGGACCCCATAGTTGCCTTCCTCTCCTCCTCCTCCTCACAAACCCCCTTCCCTCCTAACCCTGATGATGTTACCTAACTTGGTCACGAAACGTCTGCGAGAAAACCACCCAGCTCAGAGACCACCAAAACCCCATAGTTCTCTTCCTTCCGCCTCCTCCTCTCTGCAAACCCCCTTCTCTTCTAGCCTTGATGATGTTACCTAGTTGGGTCACCAAACGTCATCGGGAAGAAAACCACCCAGCTCAGAACACCGAGGCTGGTTCCATTTTCCCCAGCTCAGAGAGCACCAAGTCCTCAACCTAGAGGATTTCCTGGTGGTTCCCTTTTCCCCAGCTCAGAAAACACCAAGGAGTCCTCAACCTGAAGGATCTCCTGGTGGGTCCCTTTTCCCCAGCTCAGAAAGCACCAAGGAGTCCTCAACCTAAAGGATCTCCTGGTGGTTCCATTTTCCCCAGCTCAGAGAGCACCAAGTCCTCAACCTCCTAAAGGATTTCCTGGTGGGTCCCTTTTCCCCAGCTCAGAAAGCACCAAGGAGTCCTCAACCTAAAGGATCTCCTGGTGGTTCCTTTTTCCCCAGCTCAGAGAGAACCAAATCCACAACCTCCTGAAGGACCTCCTGGTGGTTCCCTTTTCCCCAGCTCAGAAAGTACCAAGGAATCCTCAACCTGAAGGATCTCCTGGTGGGTCCCTTTTCCCCAGGTCAGAGAGCACCAAGTCCTCAACCTCCTAGAGGATCTCCTGGTAATTACCCCAGCTCAGAGAGCACCAAGGAGTCCTCAACCTAAAGGATCTCCTGGTGGTTCCCTTTTCCCCAGCTCAGAGAGCACCGAGGATCTCCTGGTGGTTCCCTTTCCCCCACCTCACAGAAAGAAGTCCTCAACCTAAAGCATCTCCCGGTGGTTCCCTTTCCCCCCCACCCAGCTCAGAGCGAACCCAGTCCTCAACCTCCTAAACGATCTCCTGGTGGTTCCCTTTCCACCCTCCCCCCCCCCCCCCCCCCACAGATAGGTAAGGAACCCCCTCTCCCAACCTTCCAAGAAACGGGATTCCCCCTTTGCTGGGACCCCAAGGAAGGACCTTTAGGCTGGCGAATTTGGGGTGGGGGGAGGGGGAAAAAGGAAGAGAAGGCAGCCCAGCTGAGCCTCCCAATCCCGGTCTCACCAAGGCCGCTTTCGTAACGTCAGGAGGCGCCGCCGCCCATCCGAAGACGCGAGAAGGGGGGGGGGAGAGAAAGAAGAAGAAGAAGAAGAAGAAGAAGAAGAGGAAGAAGGAGAAGAAGAAGAAGAAGAAGAAGAAGAAGAAGAAGAAGAAGAAGAAGGAGGAGGAGGAAGGGGAAGAGGAAGAGGAAGAGGAAGAGGAGGAGGAGGAAGGCAAGAGCGGGGAGACGCCCCTCCCTCCCCCCTCCCTCCCTCTTTTCTCTCTCTCTCTTCCCCCCCCCGCCCCATTTTAAACCCCCCCTCCTCCTCCTCCTCCTTAAAAGGGGGGGGTCCCTCCAAGCTTTGAGATGCCCCCGCTTTGCTTAGTCACCCGGCGGGGGGGGGGAAACCCCCCCTCCTCACCCATTTCCCTCCCCCCCCACTGAGGAAGTGGGAGCCCCCCCCAAGCCCCCCCTCCCCCTCAACAACATCCCCCTCCCCCACATCGACGCGGGGGGCGTCCGCGCGCGCCCGGGCCTCCTCCTCCTCCTTTCGCCCCCCCCCCCCCCCCCCAAACCCCCCCCCCCCCCCTCCAGGCCCCCGCCGAAGCGCGGCCCCCGCCGCCCGCCGGGGCCCCGAAAGCGAGGGGAAGCCCCCCCCCCCCCCCGCCGCCGCCCCGTCCCTCACAGCGCCCTCCTTCGCCCACCCCGGGCCGGCCGTCCGGTCGTCCCGCGCGCGCCTCCCCTCCGCCTCTGTCCGGCGCCGTCCCGGCGGCCTCAGCCCTGGGATGTTACCTTCATCAGCCTCCTGCTGGCCGCCATCTTGGATCTGCTGCCGCTGCCCCACAATGCATAGCGGTCGCGGCGGCGGCGGCGCTTCCTGGAAGGAAGGCCCGGCGGAGGAGAGAGAGAGAGAGAGAGAGAGAGAGAGAGAGCGGGCGGGCGCGAGAAACAGGGTGGCTGCTGAGGCGAGGAGGGCTGAGGGGAGGCTGCTGGTCGGTCGGGCGGGCGGGGAAAAGAGGAGGAGGAAAGAGGGAGGAGGAGGAAAAGAAGAAAAGAAGAGAGGAAGAAGAGGAGGGGAGGAAAAAGAGAAAAAAGAGGAGGAAGAAGAAGAGGAAGAGGAAAAGAAGAAAAGAAGAAGAGGAAGAATAAGAGGAAGAGGAAAAGAAGAAAAGAAGAGGAGGAAGAAGAAGAGGAGGAGAAAAAGAAGAAAAGAAGAGGAAGAAGAAGAGGAAGAGGAAAAGAAGAAAAGAAGAGGAGGAAGAAGAAGAGGAAGAGGAAAAGAAGAAAAGAAGAGGAGGAAGAAGAAGAGGAAGAGGAAAAGAAGAAAAGAAGAGGAGGAAGAAGAGGAAGAGAAAAAGAAGAAAAGAAGAGGAGGAAGAGGAAAAGAAGAAAAGGAGAGGGAAGAAGAGGAAGAGGAAAGAAGAAAAGAAGAGGAGGAAGAGGAAAAGAAGAAAAGAAGAGGAGGAAGAATAAGAGGAAGAGGAAAAGAAGAAAGGAGGAAGAAGAAGAGGAAGAGGAAAAGAAGAAAAGAAGAGGAGGAGAAAAAGAAGAAAAGAAGAAGAAGAGGAAGAAGAAAAGAGGAGGAAGAAGAAGAGGAAGAAAAGAAGAGGAGGAGGAGGAAAAGAAGTAGAAAAGAAGAGGAGGAAGAAGAAGAGGGAAGAAAAGAAGAGGAGGAGGAGGAAAAGAAGTAGAAAAGAAGAGGAAGGTGAAGAAGAGGAATAAAGTGATGGTGAAGAAGAAGGAAGAGAAGAAAGGAATGTGGAGACATGAACAGGGCAGGATGATGGTGAGGGAGCAAGTAACGAGGCTGGAGAAAGGAGGAGCAAGACTAAAGATGGAGAAGAGGAGCAGAAAGGTGAAGAAGAGGAACAGAGATGGTGAAGAGGAAGAAAAGGATGGGAGGATGGTGAAGGATCAAGTGAGAAGAAGAGGATGGAGAAAGGAGGAAGAAGACTGTGAAGATGGAGAAGAGGAGGAGAAGGAAGGTGAACTAGAGGAACAAAGTCTTCATGTTGAAGAAGAAAGTGAGAAGAACTGCAGAGGTGGAGAAAGAAAGTGATGAAGAGGAAGGACCTGAAGACAATGAAAAGGAAAAATGTAGGGAATGTTGAAGAAGAAGATAAAGATGACAGTGAAATTATTGATTCAATTATTCCTCCATTCGGTATTTTAAAAGAGAATTTTGTTTTGCAATCTTCTGATGCTGGCGCCTGTTTCCTGTTGGCCTTCTGGATGTAGGAGATTTAATTTGATTTGATTTGATTTGATGCCCTCATCTGGTTACATCTCCAATTAATTTAAACATTTTTAAAAACTGCATTTGATCAGGCTTGGAAAACTAACCCCCCCCCCCCAAAGCAAGCATATTCTTCATTGCATTGTGGACTGACTCTTTCCGCCACCCCCCCTTCTGTTTTTTTAAATAATAAATCGCCTTACAATATGGTGTTTTTATTGTTCTCGATGGCTTTGGATACAATATGTAGAAGCAAAAAACAAAAAGAGATATATAAACCTCTTTGGTTGATAAAAAGGCTTGTTTGTTTTGATTTTGATGTGTATTTTCTTACCGGCTGCTTTTAGATGCTTAAAAATACGAGCGTTGTGTATTGATAGGCGAGGATGACATCAGCAGCATTTTCATAGCAGCCGGTATAAGATTTTGAAGCCATTAATAATCCATGTAACCTATTTTGAAGACGAGCTTAAATTAGCCAGTGAAGCAAAAATAACGGATGGGTTTTTGATTATGCAAGGCGCTTTTCCAGGCACAAACAATTTCACTTTCTTAGCTGTCTTTGCCTTCTTTTTGGGATGGAGCGGAACAGCAGGGTATAAATGAAATAAATAAATTAGGCATTAAAAATCAAACAGGCACAGACCGCCGGCGGCAGTAACGTTGGCAAATACAATGATAGGGCATCGTTTGGGGAAGCGTCCTGCAAGCCAACTTTGGATCCCCGTATGGAGACAAACCCTGATTTATTGATTACCTTTAGCTTGTCTGATAACTGAGCTCAGGTAGAAAGTGAACATGAAGTCCTCGACTTAAGACGGTTGCAGGAACTGGGTATGTCTAGTTTAATGAAAAGAAGGACTAGGGGAGACATGATAGCAGTCTTCCAATATCTCAGGGGCTGCCCCAAAGAAGAGGGAGTCAAGCTATTCTCCAAAGCACCTGAGGGCAGGACAAGAAGCAATGGGCGGAAACTAGTCAAGGAGAGAAGCAACTTTGCACTAAGGAGAAATTTCCTGACAGTGAGAACAATTAATCAGTGGAACAACTTGCCTCCAGAAATTGTGAATGCTCCAACATGAAGTTTTTAAGAAGATGTTGGATAACCATTTGTCTGAAGTGATGTAGAGTTTCCTGCCTAAGCAGGGGGTTGGACTAGAAGACCTCCAAGGCCCCTTCCAACTCTGTTATTCTATTCTAAAGTCTCTGTGAAACTTAATGGCCACAATTGGGAACAGAATTCCTGTTGCTTAAGCAAAGTGCTTGGTGAGTCATGCCCAACTGTATGTCACCTTTTTTTGCCTCCATTGTTAAGCAAATCCCTGCCGTTGTTAAGTGAATCACGCTGTCGCTAAATGAATCTGGCTTCCCCCATTGACTTTGCGTGTTGGAAGCCAACTGCGAAGGTCACAAATGGTGATCACAGGAATGCTGAAACCGTCATAAACGGTTGAAGAGGTTGTAGAAAAAATGCTTTTAAAAGCCTCTGACGATCCCAGCTGAGCCGTGCGATCATCAGAGGCTTTTTTTTTTTACTTTTAAAAGCATTTTTTCGAAGAGGTGGCAGAAAAAATGCTTTTAAAAGAAAAAAAAAGCCTCTGATAAGGTGGGCGGGGTAAGTGAACGGCGACCGGGCCGGGGACCGGTTTGGGGGCGTAGCCAGCCAATGTTATTACCGGTTTTCCGAACTACTAAAATTTTTTTACTACCGGTTCTTGCGAACCGGTGCGAACCGGGAGCAACCCACCACTGGTATGTATATGTATAATATATGTGTGTGTATATATGGTATATGTGTGTGTGTGTGTGAATGTGTGTGTATAATTTCCACAGTAAGGAAGGTAAAGCAGGAAGGAAGGTTTAAATTGATCGCTTTATTCAGTGGAGGATATATTTAATTATGTTTTTTTATTTGGATATCTCCTCTGGATTTTGTGCTTGTGATGAAAAAAATATATGAAACTTTGGTTTTGCCAAAGGTAGATTTAACATAATTAAATATATCCCATTAGGTAGATTTAACATAATTAAATATATCCCATTAGGTAGATTTAACATAATTAAATATATCCTTAATAGAAACGGCTAGTTATATTATACTAATGTGTAAAAAATAAAACATTGAGGCTGCAACGTTAAGATAAAAGGAGTCTGAAGTCAACGCTTTTTTTTTCTTTTTTTCCCCCCTCGTATTTTCTTTTCCCCTCCCTTAATTTCCTGTTTTGAGTTTTTCCTCGTATTTTAGACATGGATAAAAAAAATAAATGTTACGAACAAAAGGGTGAGTGCCGTTGTAACATCAAATGGCCTCTGAACAAATGGATGAGTCAAGGACGGCCAAATGAGTGAGTCAGCCAAGTGAGTCAGCTAAATTAAAGGTGCCTTAAAATTCTCAGCATCTTAAGGGCTGCTATGATGATAATGTTGCAACGGTTGTGTGCTCCATTTACTTTCTTAAAAGTAATGCTCATATGTGCCACTGGATGGCGGAAAACCCTAAGAAATCTCTCTTTTTTACAGCAGGAGCTAAGTTTTCTTCTAAGACAGTGGCTCAGTGGCTAAGACACTGAGCTTGTCGATCGAAAGGTCGGCAGTTCAGCGGTTCGAATCCCGAGTGCCGCGTAACGGGGTGAGCTCCCGTGACTTGTCCCAGCTTCTGCCAACCTAGCAGTTCGAAAGCACGTAAAAAAATGCAAGTAGAAAAAATAGAGACCACCTTTGGTGGGAAGGTAACAGCGTTCGGTGCGCCTTTGGCATTGAGTCATGCCGGCCACATGACCACGGAGACGTCTTCGGACAGCGCTGGCTCTTTGGCTTTGAAACGGAGATGAGCACCGCCCCCTAGAGTCAGGAACGACTAGCACATATGTGCGAGGGGAATCTTTACCTATTTACATCGTGTGTGTTTATGTGTGTGTATCCAGAGTGCTTATTTTTTTTTTCTACCGTGCACTTTCAAGAGAAAAGCTTTTTATGAATAAAAAAAACATTGACCAAAATATCCTTTTTTGCTTCTTGTTTCTGTATGGTGAATGGCTTCCCCAGTTCCCAGCGCTCTCAGATGTTTTCTGATGCAGGATATGGCGGAGGGAAAATTGCCAAGGACAACAAATAGAAGAAATGGGAAAACCTGTGTTGAATTTACTAATTGAAGTCCCAAGGGAGAGACGCGTGAATCGTAAAAAGATAACGTTCCTTTCCCCTGGACTAGGTTTTAAGAAAAAAACTTTTAAACAAGTATCTTTAGAACACAGAACAATAGAGTGGGAAGGGACCTTGGAGGTCTTCTAGTCCAACCCCCTGCTCAAGCAAGGAGACATATGAAATAAACTCATCCTTTCCCCCTTTTCAAAAGTTAGGAAAAAAAGGAATTCTAAAACAATCTGAGATAAGAGGCCAAAACAGATGTCTCGCTCGGAGGGGTGAAAAACTTGCAGGAAATTTCAGCATCAGATGAACCCAGCTGGAGTTTTGTCTACCAGTCTTTGATCTTAGATGTGTATATATATACATATATTTTTTTTTAAAAAAACCCAATCTTGCCAGAGATTTATTTCTCTCGTTTCCCCCTGAGACTTTGTCACACCTGCTAATTCAACTTCGACTCACCGGGGAGACATTACGTCAGGCCGTCCGCTAAATCCTGTCACTTCA